ATGTCTCAAGGGCATCAGAATGGTTTTCGAGGAATTTCAGGAACTCTTGAAACGTAGGATTCTGCATATCGACGATTTTTGTGGCCCACTGAGAACGTGTTTCCTTGTCGATTTTTTATTTCCAAAATGAGGTGAATGAGCCACGGGTCACGCGATTCGTTCTTGGCACCCATAGCACTCAGTTGTCTAATAACTTCGTCGGATGTCGTTACTAGTTTCCGAAGGCTGCTCGGGTACGTAGATGACACGACTTGTGATTCCACTAACTTGTCCCACACTTGGTTGTAATTCGCATCCGTGATCGCAAACGAGCTCACCAATGCCTTAGCTTCACCGTCAAGGTATGGAACGAGATACTTCAGCTTTTGTGAGTCACGCATTGTCTCCTTGTCGTGAATGGTACCAACAAAAAGGTCCTTAAAAGAGCGCCAGTCCTTGCGGTCACCCTTAAAGATAGGAATGTTGATTGGAGGGAGTCGTACGTTGAGCATTGGTTCAGCTACAGTGGCACGAAGTGATGCGCTTGTCAAAAGTCCCCTAGCTGGGCAGTTACATACTCGTTTCGCTTTCTGCAGCTTGGTTCGACAGGAGCAATCGTTGCGTTTCCAGCAGTGCCGAAACTGCATGCCGTAGATTATTGGTTGGTTCCTCAAACGTGTCATCACTACCAACAGAACCTTCCTCCATCTGCGAGTAGGTACATTTGGCTTCATAATATAACTCCTCAAATTCAGTCCGGTAGTTGAAAACCGATGAAACTGCTTCCAATGACGGCGTTTTGTCTTCGATTTCACTCAGCACGTCAAAAAAATTGTTTCCGACCTGTTGCAGCCGATCGACGCGTTCCCCAACCTTACAAAGTGGAGGGCTCCGGCTATGGACGCGTTTCGCCGTATTTAGCTCTTACTTCATCTTCTCGAAGAGCGAGTTCCGCTTAATCGTCAGTTCTTCCATTGTCAACCGTTAAATCGTGACATCCGGAACCGAAGGACCCTAAAATGTTGTTGCATCAAACGCAATTTTTAGTTTAATTTTCGGAAATAAATTCGCGACGAACTATGTTGCGTTGTATCTTGTTTGGGTTTTTATTTGCAACTGACAAAAACAAAGGAACATAATGCGCGGGAATTCACTTGCGCGAGGGAGTGGTTGGTTGATGTACTCTAAAACAATTTACTCTAAACATTCTTACACGACTGTAAGAAGATTATTAGAAAGATGCTGTACTGCAGATTGATCAAGGATAATGCTTCTCATCATCAGCATAATCCAAGGAATCACAAATGTGATATCGGACTTGTTAGTGTTTTCCATGGACTTGAGTGAGAATTTAGAACTGGTCAGCAAATCGCTGGGTCCCGTTGAAGAGTAAAAAAAGACAGTTGACACCGTTTTCAACCAGAGGTTTCACAGACTGAACACTAGACAACAGACAATACACAAGACCCAGTAGACCAGTAGGGAAATGTTGGGGTTGCGAAAAGTTCCACCGGCTGGAGCGGGAATCGAACCCTCACTTCGTGGCACTCACAATCAGAATTGGTAACAGTCAGTTGGGTCAGTGACGTTTGACGAAAACCAAAAATAAATTGTATCGATAAAAACATCATCTTTTTCATACACCTTCGTCAGTGACGAAGAGAGTCCGACAGTAATCACTAAAAATATCTTACGTACTCTTCAACGAGTCCCAGCGATTTGCCAACCAGTCGAAAACACTCACTCTTAAATCACAAACAACTCCTCACCCATAAGTCAATCACTAACAAGTCCGATATCACCCAACGACTCCCCATCGTCTCCAAACTATTCATCGTCGCAAACCAACGGTGCTCCGTATTTTCCAACATATTCATATTCACCCATAGCTCGCTCGTACTTTCCAAGCTCCCCCAACTATTCACGAAATGTCCTCTGCATACCGAGTAGCAAAACTTACTTTCTTTATAAGTTCAATCGTTTAATTTCCCATAAAGTCCGTGATTCATGATTCATGACTTCAAATAGCTTCAGTAGAGCTCTCTAAATTACACTAAACATATCCGAACTGTTCTGCATACATCAAATAAGTTCAGAGAAAAGTACAGATAACTTCAGAGAAGTTCTGCGAACTTCAGCAAAGCTCTGCTATCCTTAGAAAAGTCGTATGCGTTCTGATGAAGTCTGCCCTACTTCAGAGCGGTTTTACAAACTTTCGAGTACTTGTACCAATTTCCTGTAAACTTCAGAGAGGCGGTGCATAATGCAGATATGTCTTAATGTGACATGTGAAGTGACATGTCACCTCAACCTTAGACATGATACTTGAAGGTCACTAGATTAAACACAAAGGTCGCAATATTCTGAGATGTTCTCAAAAATGGTTGACTTTCGAAGAACTTCTTTAGAGTTTACAATACTTCCTTGAAGATCGCAGAACTACTGCGAAGGAACTTTAAAGAGTTGCTATGCAATTTATGAATGATCTGATAACTTCAACGGAAGTTTTTTGATCTTAAAAAGCAGTTCTCTGAACTTCAAGCGAAGTTCTCTGCAGTTCAGGCGAAATTCTCTGAACTTAAAGGGAAGTTCACAGAAGCTCACAGTCCAATGAAAGATTCACAGAACACATAATTTCCGGTAAAAAAAAATCTGAGAACTTCCGACGAAAAGTTTACAGATCTTCCCTGAAGTTCAAAGTACTTAAAAAAATTCTTAAGTTTCACTGAACTTTCCTAAAGTTCAACGAAAACTTCAGAGAACTTCCGACAAGAAGTTGGGAGAATTTCCGGTGGGAGGTTCAGAGAACTTCTTGCGAGAAGTTTAGAGATCTTCCGACGATCAGTTCAGAGAACTTCTGATGAGATGTACAGAGATCTTCCGAGGAGAAGATCAAAGGACTTCCGGCGAGAAGTTCAAAGCTTCCGAGGAGAAGTTCTGAGGACATCCGACGAAAATTTCAGAGAACTTCCGATGAGAACAAAATTTTCGACGAGAGGTTCAGAGAACTTCAGAGAAGGCATTTACAGAATCTCCGAGAAGAGCAGAGAACATTCGACGAGAAATGTAGACAAATTTTGTGAACTACTGACCATACATACCGAGAACTTCCAACTACGTTCACAGTACGTCCGATGAGAAGTTCACCCAAAAGAGCAGCATAATCACAAGCATATTCCATGCCGAATAGGCAACAAGTTTCTTGGCAAATATGGAACATGCAATAGGTATAAAGAGAGAGAGAAAGATTAGTAATTTCCATTTAATTCAACTACCTTATTTGCTTATCCTTGACAGATACGCGTATTTCGTCTACAATGTGCAGACTTCTTCAGTGTCTTGTACTGAAGAGTATTAGTACAAGACACTGAAGAAGTATGCACATTGTAGACGAAATACGCGTATCTGTCAAGGATAAGCAAATAAGGTAGTGGAATTAAATGGAAATTACTAATCTTTCTCTCTCTCTTTATACGCCCACATTCATCAGGATGCAATAGGTGATAATATTGGATGCTGCGGAAGAGTCCGTTGTGGTATATCATATTCTTGCCGACACTTTCAATCACTTGCTGCTTACTCCCGAATAAGTTGCGTGTAACTTTTCCAAGGAAATAATGGGCCCGCGGAAGGACGTTCCTATTGGGACTTCTTCTTCTTCATTCCTTTATTTAACGTCGGTCTCTGTTCCGCAATCTAGTGCCAATCACCGACGGACATCGATTGCCATCCATTGACGGCAATCGAATGTGCGGGAAGGCAACTTCCACACCTGCGTAGGATATCGCACCCATTCAAACACACATGTGCCGGGAATAACGGCTTTACTTCCCTTCCGAAGGAAGACGTGACCAGAGATTTTTATGCCTCAGAAAAATCCCACCGACCCCGGTGGGATTGAACCCAGACCCATTGGGGTGTTAGAAAGCAGTCACGCTTACCACTACACCACCGGCACCGGCCTCCTATTGGGACCAAACCGTAACAAACCTTATGGTAGCTGCAGTCGGAACAGCTGCAGCGAATCGAATTCCACAAACATAAACAGAAGAATGCCAGAACTATAAGACCAGATTTTTGGTACCAAGCAAATCGGTTAACGTACCCCATTCTAGTAAAAATTCTAGTACTACACAATGTTTGTTTTGATTCGCTATGAAAGTTTGACAGATAAAATGAGGGGTTAGCGGAATTTCCTATGTTTCGAGGGGTGAATCGATTAGCTTGGGACCGAAGATAGTACCAGAGCTGAGCCAAAAACTAGAGCTCGTTTCTTCGGAACCTACTAGTCTTAGAGTTACCTCTATGATAATACTTAGCAGCTTAGCAAAATCGAGGATAATTCGAAATTGGCGTATTATACTCGATGGAGGGAATGAGTGAATTATCAAAGTAGTGAAAACATACACCAATGTAGAAGATTTCTAACCCAGCAAAAAAAAAATCAAAATCCAGGAAAACTGGTTTTTAAAAACTTTAACACAGTTTAGGACATTTTGACAGTGAGCATGCAAAAGGGCCTAACTTCGATGATCGATTCTCTTCAACGATTTTCTCTTTAAATTGCTACAGCTAAGGGAAGCAATTTTCTGAAATTTATCCAATACAGTTCTGTAACACGTTGTATTGACTATCAAAAGCAAAATCAAACGCACCGAGAATTGTTAATACAAGCAAGTTATTAACAAAAGAGAAAACTGACGAAGATAATCCATCCGCCCTCAAGCATGCTCAGTGCTCACTGTCAATTTGTGACTTGGTCAGGCTGAGATTTGACCTTTAGCGTGTGAGGAGACATGAAGGCTATCCACTAGACTGGACACATCCTGCATTTTCATTTCCATTGGCACACATACCTCGGTTGCCAGAGAGCGTCAGACGGTGGGATCAAGAGCGACATAGGAGTACGAATCAAGAAGACCTGGGCCTGCTTTTGTGAGTTTACGAAACATTCGGAAATCAAACCGGACTGGTCAACGCACCAAAATCCGAACCTGTGAGACCGTGGAAAAAACACGTACCTGGAACAATGCTCTGACATAGTTCAACTTTGGTGAATACAGTGTGATGAGGAACAACGTCATCAGCAGATACTCCCTAACATCGATCACGTCCATGCTGCGTTCAGGCTAAAATGATAGAACATACGATCACCATCAGCAAGTTCTGTTGCATTTAATGCTTAGCATCCACAACATACCTTAACAAATATTCGGAAGAGCTTTTTCGTCGAATCGTTATCGACTGCAACGTTCAACCGTCTGGAAAACTCCTCTATCGTCAGGTAACTATTCTCGTCTGTAAATTTGGTATCGTCTGCTAGTATTTGCTCTTCGATGTGAAGCTTATTTAATCTGAAATTTAAAATTTTGTAAACACCACGCTGCTGTTACGCCTTAACATTATCATAAGAACCTACCCTAGTTCCTTCCTTAGTTTATCGATGTCGGTACTAAATGCTGCATATGGCATGTTAACATTCTTGACGAACGTCATCAGCTTACAATCGTCGAACGTGTAGTCGGAAACGGGAATGCCCAACTCCCGAGCCATCAGATTCCGTACGTTTCGTGCGTACAGTTTGGGATCCTTCTTTTCCTCCTCGCTGGGGTGATAAACGGGCATGAATTCAATCTCGCAGAATGTGTGAAATTGCGTTAGCGTTCGCCACAGCAGTTGTAACCTGTCGAACAAATGTAAAACATCACTAAACAATCCTATAGCGACCCTGCGAAGAGCTCTTCTTACGCGTCCGGTCCCTCCCAGGTCCATGTTACGGTGTCAATCTTGTTTGGGTACCGCACCAGTACCGGTTGAATAGGAACGCCCGGATAGAAGGCACCCGGTTTGAACTGGATCAGCGACGTCCGATTGGTGCAGGTTCCCTCGGGGAAGATCAAGATCTGAGGCCAGTCTTCCTTGGAGTTGGCACGTTCGATAATCTCCTTGATGGTGGTCTGCCGAGAATTTGGGTCCTCACGGCACACGTAGATGGGCTGCGCGTAGTCGATTAGCTCTGAGAAGTTTTGGGGTTTGAGATTGTGTTTGTGTGAGAAGAAAGAGGTACATTAGAATTCAATCTGTAGAGGTCAGGGGTGTCGCTTAATCTCGCTTTTTACCTGTGAACAAAAGTCAAAATCTGATCAATGTTTCTATTCAAATCGCAAATCGAAATAAATGCAAAATTCACATAAATTTCTAGATTTATTGATATCTTGTCGCTACAAGCAATAATCGGAGATTCATTAACGATTTGAGACTTAGTTCCTAGATAGATTGAGGATAGGGCGACGCCACTGGTTTGCATGAGGTAGGAATAATAGGAATACAAGAATCTAGCGGGCAATTTTAGCGATGATTTTTTAGGGAATACTTATTACATGGTTAGAGAAAGCTTCCCGTTCTTTTCAGATGAAATTTACGGAATGCTAATTGATAGTAACCTTTCGGTTTCTATTACCATTTAGAACCATTTCGAGAACACCATCGAGGACTGCTATTTGATTAATTACTTGGGATGAATGGTAATTTGGTGTTCTGAAAGCTGAAATTCATTTTTTTTCCGCTGGACCGTCGCTACACTCCTCTAATTAGAAAAAAAGCACAGATATAAACCGAAGTAGCTACGCAACGGGATAAAATGGCAAAATCAAACTTCAAACTTACAAGGTATGTATTGTTAACTTTTAAAACAAATCGAATGGAGATTCAAGTTTGAAGGCTCCGCAGAAGTCTTTTGCGATGGCAGGACACGCTCCAAAGCTCTTCAAGAGTTTATCAAGAGTTTTTCAAAGGATTTCTGGAGACAATCCACAGGACTTCCAGTGTAAGTCTACAACACACATAAAGTGAGTCCAGAGCACTGCTGTTATTTTTCGTATCATTCAATTTACCGCGATCCGACAGATCCGTCCAATCGATTTTATTCAACGTATTTTTTCATCCCCATGAATTGAAGATTCGTGCTTAATAAATAAATGCCCCAAATAAGTTTATTGCTACAATACTGAGGCACAAATGTATGTGGTTATTTCAGGAAAAACCTTCCAGATCATTAGCATACGTATTTTCAACTTTATTCGATGTAATCTTCTCCAAACTCTGATCCGTAGTTTCATGCTATTAAATATTTGTTTAGGCTATTCAGGCTGTATTCCATTTTGTGAATTTTCACTTAAATTTGACAGATAGAAAATGTTTATTTAAACCTGCTATAACCCGAGGGGGGCGACTTTATCTGCGATGTAGGAAAAATTGTATTTATTTTGCTGTGATTAGTTGCGCGCACGCTGAGTAGATATAAAGAAGATTGATGATGATTCTGAAGATTTCTTGCAAAAAGATGATGCGCGATACAAGTAGATGCGAGAAATGACAGAAATTTTTCGAAGATTGATTCGCTAGTGTGAGATATGTTGAGCATCTAGAATTGAGATTTAGATGTGTCGCCATCCTCGGTATAACCAGACTTAAATTTGACCGACAAGGAATCAATTTTTATAAACATCTTTTCGAAAATCGAACGATCAACAACAGAGGGATTTTCGAACATAATAATTTATTTTCGAAGTGTCAAATTTAAGTGAAAATTATCCTAATGAAACACAGCCTTTTCTCACCCCAATGGGTCTGGGTTCAATCCCAGCCGAGGTCGGTGGGATTTTTCTGAGGCATAAAAATCTCTGGTCACGTCTTCCTTCGGAAGGGAAGTAAAGCCGTTGGTCCCGGCCTTTGAGTGTTGCATGAATGGGTGCGACATCTTACGCAGGTGTGGAAGCTGCCTTCCTGCACATTCGATTGCCGTCAATGGATGGCAATCGATGTCCGTCGGTGATTGGTATTAGATTGCGGAACAGAGACCGACGTTAAATAAACACACTTAGAAAAAATCACCGACTTCGGTAATTCATTTACCGAATTCTCAACAGCTGAACGGTCGATAATGTTTTTGGTAATCGAGAACATTACTGAAAAATCTGTAAACTGGATCAGCAAAATTAGCTGTCAAATTTACCGAACGATCGGTAACGTTTACCGATGTGCATTGCTTAATTTGTAGTCGATTTTACCGGAGAACTGTAATTTTGAGGACGATATGCAAATCGAAAATTACCGAGTGATCTGTAATTTTTTAAAAAAGGTCACCGACTCAACAGTAATTTGCTTTACACACTTAGAAAAAATCACCGACTTCGGTAATTCATTTACCGAATTCTCAACAGCTGAACGGTCGATAATGTTTTCGGTAATCGAGAACATTACTGAAAAATCTGTAAACTGGATCAGCAAAATTAGCTGTCAAATTTACCGAACGATCGGTAACGTTTACCGATGTGCATTGCTTAATTTGTAGTCGATTTTACCGGAGAACTGTAATTTTGAGGACGATATGCAAATCGAAAATTACCGAGTGATCTGTAATTTTTTAAAAAAGGTCACCGACTCAACAGTAATTTGCTTTACACACTTAGAAAAAATCACCGACTTCGGTAATTCATTTACCGAATTCTCAACAGCTGAACGGTCGATAATGTTTTCGGTAATCGAGAACATTACTGAAAAATCTGTAAACTGGATCAGCAAAATTAGCTGTCAAATTTACCGAACGATCGGTAACGTTTACCGATGTGCATTGCTTAATTTGTAGTCGATTTTACCGGAGAACTGTAATTTTGAGGACGATATGCAAATCGAAAATTACCGAGTGATCTGTAATTTTTTAAAAAGGTCACCGACTCAACAGTAATTTGCTTTAATATTGTTCCAAGGTGGCGGTCACTGCAACCCATGCAAAAATTTGGCTGCAGTCGTGATCAATAAGCTAGTGTTGCAAATTGCACCACCAATGAATAAAACCGTTGGCGACGATCTGAAAACTTCAGTTTTTGTCGGAAAGATTCGGCGCTACACTGAAAACAAGGAAGCATTGGAAGATCGTCGCCAACGGGAATGGAACTTGGACCGACAGAAAAAAAAAACAAGCAACAACATCGGCCATCTGTAATCGGTATTTATTTAGATAACGAAAATTAATTATTTACGGAAAATATCTACGATTCGCTCATCTTGGTGTTGCATAACAGCCTCCATAATTTCACCTTTTTTATTTTTCACAAGCATGAACGCTTTTAATGTCGATCGAAAATAACAATATGGTGGATTTGACGTTTACCTAGACCGTTACCGAACTCAGTAACGGAACGCTTTGTTTACCGAAACTTCAGTAAAATATTTCACCGAAGTCAGTGATGAAGCTGATTTACAGATCTGCCGGTAAAAATGTTTACCTTTTTCGGTAAATTAAAATAAAATTACCGAAATTCGGTCATTTCATTTACAGTTTTCAGCAATAAAGCGAGAAAATACCGAAACATCTGTAATTTTTAGCATTACCGATCTAAGACGGAAATTTTTTTTTACCGAACTCAGGGTCTCTGTTTAAGTGTGAAGGAAATCAGAAGAAGAAGAAGAAGAAGAAGAAGAACACAGTCTCAAACTGTGTTCCATTTGGTAAATTTTCACTTAAATTTGACACTTCGAAAATAACCTATAATGTTCGAAAATCCCTCAATTGTTGATCTTCCGATTTTCTAATAGGTGTTTGTCAAAATTGATTCCTTGTCGGTCAGAAATAATTCTGGTTCAATAGTAGGTTTATTTGAAAATTTTCCATCTGTCAAATTTAGGTGTAAATTCACCAAATGGAGCACAGCCTCAGAAAGAAGTCGTCCTTGTTTTGGTGATAAAACATGTCTTTTAGGTATGATATCAGTATTGAGTCGTTCCACGCCAAATGACGAAGCGATCAGATACGATATTCTCCAATTTGCTTGAAACACATTTGTGCTAAAATTTCGTCATTTTGAATCATGCAACTTTTCATAATGGCCTATTTGACATTTTTCAATAAATCGTAGCACGGAAACATCACTTCAAATCGAATTGACGTCTGAGACAAAGTTGTAAGAAAAAATACATTCTTCTCGGAAAAATATCCACGGTTATTTTTTTTTTCAGTAATTTTGAGTAGAAAATAAAAAAAAGTTATGAAAACTTAGATCACACATTTTTTTTTGTTCAATATGTTTTATTATTTTTAAATGAAAAATGCAAACTTTTTAAGTATTGATAATCTTGGACAGTTGAAATTTGTTATCAAAAGTTGTTGCTCTACGATTTATGTCAATTTTTATAAAAAAAAACAGAAATAGTGAACAAGGACATTTTTTGGTATGTATTTTTTTCTCAGAATTACAAAAAAAAATACCGTGTTTATTTTTTCTAGAAGCACTTTATTTTTCCATACAACTTTGTGCCATGCGTCATTTCGATTAGGAGTGACGTTTTCGAGCTACGATTTATTGAAAAATGTCACATACGCCATTTTTAACAAATTTGCAAGACTCAAAATGACCGAATTTTAGCACAAATGTGAATGATTGCTCATAACAAACAATTATGAAAGTTTCATGCAATCGGAGAAGGACGAGTCAAACATTGAGTTCTGTTTGCTCTTTAGTCTGGAATTGCTCGACTCATACATCAAAACCTCTGAACTAGTCTCAACAGATCCCACTAGTCCCAGATGTTCCCAACGAGACCCATGATCTCAATGACTAGCAAGACCCCAAGAGCCCTCTGGACTTACCCCATAATGCATCTGAACATGTTTCACACGTCTATTGAACTTGTCCCATAAGACCTCTGGAGTTGATCTACAAGGTCGATTTAGTTTATCTGTGTGGTTTGTATGATCCATAAGGCTTCCATGCAAACAAACAAATCGATGAAGATGATTCATGAAAACATAGGAATTGCAAATTAACCTATGAGGCTTCTGCAAGATCTCCGTAGTTACATAGGTACATTAGGTTTTCAAAGTCGATCTATAAAATCTCTGAAGCTAACACATAAGGCCTCTAAAGCTAACTTATAAGCCAAAGTTGAAACAACAGATCGCTAGAGTTTGCTCGAATAAGCAGATAGTCAATAAGATCTCTGAATATAATATACAAG